GGCATAGGCTGCCTGCTGCAGGCTTGGGCCCCCACCCTGATGCCCTCCCCCAGGGCCTCCATAGCCCAGCAGGTGCACCGCAGCATTTCAGAGCAGAGCAGGGCTGTGTGGGGATCTCCTTGCTGCTGTGAGCTCTGCGTTGCCCTGGTGACGCATCCCCTTCTCATGCGGCATCAGCAGGGGCAGCACTGCAGGGTTGTGCCCCTCGCTGCTGCCATGTGTGCAGGAGACACATTGCCAGGACAGAGCTTGTAGGGTGGAGCTTGCAGCATGCAGCTTACCTGTGTGGCCCTACATTCCCAGCGCTTGATCACACCTGCTTGGCTGTGGAGACCTGGAGGGCAGCATGGTGGGAACCCAAGCTCGCAGTGGGCAGCCTGTGTCCACCCCCACCCAGCACATGGATCTGGGGGACACAGGTCCTCCCTGTCTCCCCAGGAATGTGCGCAGCAGCAAGGAGCCACCCCCCAACCTGAGCCCACAGCAGGCAGGCAACGGGCAGGGAGCTGGGCTCCATGCTCTGCTCTGCTGCAGCACCTGCCACCTCCTGCCAGGGGCAGGGGGATGCATACCTGGGTCTCTGGCCCTATAGGTCTGGCAGATGGCCTGCCCCCCAGCAGGGCTGGGGCTGGCAAGGGGCTGTGGGTAGGGGGTAAGGGGCACCATCAGGGCCAGGGGGCTGTGGAGGGAGGAAATGAGGGGCATCCGCAGGACCAGGGGGCTGTGGGGAGGGGCAAGTGAGGGGACTTTTGTTTTAATCATGGATTTGGGGGTTTTTATCAGAGAATTTTTTTTTTTTTTTATCTGAGAATTTGCCATTTTTTATCAGGAAAAACCAGGATCCCTGGATATCATGACTCACCATCTGTCCTCCTTTTCCCCAACGAGTCTTAAGTCTTCTTCTTTAAGGAGCCCTAACACTGCTTCCCTGTAAGAAGCAGAGTATAAACTAAACCTCAACCTGACATGCTTTACTTACATACAATAGTAATCTGAGAGGGGAGGGAATTTGTTTGGAAAGCTGTCATTGAGGACAATATGGTGAGAAAGGGGAAACATATACATAAAACCACCTTATAAGTTGTTCTGAGAGAGTCTGAGCTCTGCTGCTCCTGCCACCCATCCTACCCTTGACAGGTTTCCCCTGTTCTGCACAAGGGTCAGAGGAGCAGCTCCCTCACCTGGGGAGAGCTCTAAGCTCACATTTCATTAGTATCACAGCTGAAGGTAGTAGTGGTGGTAGAGAAGGAGAGATGAGGGCTCCCACCAGTAGTTTTCCAGCTCTCCTTACTGGCAAGCAGTAGCAGAGAAAGCTCCTGGGTGCTTTTCCCCCTCTGGATAACTTGCCTTGTGAACATGAAGCAGGTCACATGGTGCAAGAGGTTCCATCCAGCAACATTTCCTGGTGCTTGATGGATAGTGCAAGCTGAAGCCCCTGGTTCAAGGCCATGGCCTGACACTATCTGTGCTCAGTAGCATATCTGTTTTATATGACACTTCTTTCCTATACATCTCATTGTGATATTTGATTCAGAACAGTATGACCTTGTTGCTTTATATTTCACTTGTAATCCATGATAACCCTCCAAACTTTTTTTCTGCAAAACAACTGACCAGACAATCATTTCCCATTTTGAATTTATACAATTGATTATTCCTAATTATGTGTAGTATTTCTCAACTGTGGCCCATTTATATCATTTTTTTTCCTCCAAATTGCCAAGGTTATTTTGAATTCTGATCCTGTTCTCCAGTGTGCTTCCAGCTGGTTATCATCAAGAAATGTGTACTGAAAACATCCAAATAATTCATGAAAATATTTTTTTTGAGAGGGCTCCAGCAGTGTGAATTCAAGCCTTCCTTTGAACTTATGCAAAGGCTTCCCCTCAATCAATCCAACTGTAAATGGGTAGCTGGTCATTTGGGCTGAGGGGGTTGAAAGCAGCTGTATGTGATGCCAGTCACACCACTCCCATGTGTGCTGTAGGCTGCAGAAATTGGTGTGCTTTAATCACGTTAGCTCAAAGAAGTATTAGGCTCAGGTTGACTGAACTTTATGCTACCCAGAGTAGACCCTCCAGAACCTCCCTTGATAAATCCTTCCAGCTTGACAGTGAACCATTGATAACTGAAAAACCATATTGATAACTGGATCAAATTTCATTAGCTTGCTTATGGAATTTCATGTGAAACAATCAAGAAAGTTTTACTAAAACCAAAAAAAGATCATCTCTAATCACAAGGTCTGAAAAGCCTGTCATGAAAGTAAAACAGCTTGCTTTTGCATAACTTTATTTAGGAGCTTACGTATAGATGGTTTAATTATTTGGTGCATTATCTTTCGTAGTATACAGACTGGTCTGTAATTTAATGGATCATCATTTTTTTTTTTTTACCCTTTTTAAAGATAATCATTTTGTTTGCCCTCTTTCAGTTTGATGGATTTTCTCCAGGAATTCTCAAAGATAATTGCTAACAGTTAAGATTGCTTCAGCAGGTGTCATAGGTGAATTTCCTCAGGCCCAGCTGATCTGAAAACAACTAATGTCTATAGTAGTCTCTAACTCAGGGGTAGGCATGGGTGCCAGAATGTGGCATTCAAAAGCATTTTGCTTGGCACATGCACCTTGGGGCAGACAGCAGGGAAGGGGCCAGGGCTGCACCACCACTACAAGAATCGGGCCCCTCAAGGATCCCCCACCAACTGCCCCTGGCATGCCAACAACTTACAAGTCGAGGTTGCAGGTGTTTAGGGCACTCTGCCCAAAAATGTTGCTGACCACTGCTTTAAACCTGTTGTAGTCTGGTTCCTTTTGCTTTAGCGCTGACGCTAATTGTACTCACCATTTCCCACAGTTAGCCATTGTAGTGGGGTTTGACGGAAAAAAACATTAAACAAATGTAACCCGGGTGGCAGCCCAATATTTGCCACCCGTGCCCAATATCAAGGATGGTGTGGTGAGAGTGGGGCAGGACTTCCGGCCAGCACCAATTTACTTTCCAGCCGGCCTCTGCTCCCCACAGAGCAGCCTGTGGTCCCAAGAAGGTCTAACACTTAACTGATTTAAATATTTACACTTTATTTACAAAACAAGAATAATAGGAAAGGTTATTTACAAGTGAGCTTAAATGGCATAACCAGAATCACAAAACAAACCAGAATGCATTAGTCAGCCCTTGACTCAAGAACCAAAGGTAGGGTAACTGGTAGCTTTCAGCCACTGCTGAGATGCTACCACAAGGAAGCAAGGTGGTCACTCCCAGCAGCTCCAACAGGCTTCCCAATAAGTGACAGGCTGCAGCAGGTTAAGCTCTTCTGGTTTGCAGAAATCAAATTGTATCAAACCCCAACCCCCCAAAGAGGCTGAAGGGTGACCCTCCGTGGCAACCAAAAAGGCAAGCAACAAGCAACTGAGTAGGCTCCTGCAGCAATCAGCATGACCCAAGCACAGAGCTCAGGGACTCCATCCGATGACAATCAGCTGCAGAATAAGGGACAGGACTGAGTCCCCTCTGGGGCAGTCAGTGGCAGAGGGTCAGCAGCACAGGCAGCTCCCAGGTGTCCTTGCTCCAAACCCCTCCTCCAGATGACTGGCTGGGCACCCCACATGCCTCGCGGCTCACCAGTCCCGCTCCAAGTGCCGACCTGCGCCCCGAATTCCCAGGGACCCTTGTCCTGGCGCTCTGCTGCTCCTCAGGATCCCAGTGCCTTGCCTGCTGCTGTCCTGCTTCCCCAGGGAAGGTGAGGGGTTTCCTCAACTCACCGGCCCAGCTCCCTGCTCTGGATAAGGATGCAGCTTACGCTCCTGGCTGCTGCTTCTTCTCTGCCGCAGTGGAGTGGGGAGCCGACTACCACTCCTAACCTTCAGGATCCCCAGCACGTCCAGCACACTGCAATGGGGCCTTAGGGAACCAGCTGTCTGCCCCAAGCCCTGGTCGCCAGCTCCCTCTCTGCTGCAGGGCTGGAGGCACGGCCGACTGCTGCTGCCTTCTTCTCCCAGGGCCTTTGAGGCTCTTCAGAGGGGTCTCTCTGCTCCCTCTGCTGGGTCAGCTCACCCCAGCTCTTCTTAGGCCTCCTACATCATTCACTAGAGTCACTGTCAACAGTCCACCATGCCAGTTTGGCTGCTGCTTTTATCCCCTCCGGCGCTTACTCCCTGGCTTGCAAACCGGCCAACCAGGGCTCAGGATGGCTGGATCCCCACTCCAGCCATCCCCCTTCCATGCGAATGAGGGGACCGAAAACCCCTTCTTTCGATTGGCTTCTCCTTTTCCATGGGGCAGGGCTCCCCTGCTCCACCCTTGGGGTTGCTCAGAGTTCACCAGCACTGTTTCTTCCCCAGGGTAAGTATCTCAAGCCAATCTGGTGAGCCCACATTGGCAGCCTGTTACACAAAGTTTAGGTGTGAGTAGCACTATCTGTTTTCGGCTTTCCCCAGTAGCTCATAAGCTAACAATCAGATGCCCCAAAATCACAAATTAGATTAAAAGGAATGATTTTTTAAATGTTTTTAAAGAATCTTAAGTTTTTAAAATTAAGAAAGCTGGCATTACACTCCCTCTCCTACTTTCTATGGGTACATCTATATCGTAGAGCCTGGGAGCCCTGGCTATTAAAATCAAAGTCTCCTGGCTCAGTCATAGGTCCCAGCACCCTGCCAATCTGCTGGCTGGTTGGGAAACAAATGCCAAGGGTCCTGGAGCCACACTGCAGCCTTTCATCTTGGATTCTTAGTCTCAGTTTTGAAATGATATTTTTAAATGAAATGTTTAAATTATAGTACTAGTTTATTTTTCTTTTAATTTTATTCCAAAATGGAAATTTTGGCTTTTTTAAAGATTAAAAAGAAAGAATTTTGGCATTTGTGTGCCATAGAAATTCCAGCTTTCAGTGAACTGTGGCTGGAAGTGGGAGGGGAGTGTGTGCATCCACCTTCGTCCAAATTGCTTGAGGTCAAGAACTCTGTGTCACTGCCTGAGGTGGTACAGCAGGAGAGGAAATCATGTGATTCAGAAAGAATTTGAAGAGCTGACAACAATGCTACAACTACAGTTTATTATAACTTTCCTCATAAGTAAGTAGGAGGAGTCATCTAATGTTGATCACCTCTCCTACCAAGGTACAAATCTTTTAAAAGGCAATTTTTGCCTCCGCCTGTAAAGAATCTCACAGCTAGAGAAAGGCGAAAATGACTTCCAATAGGAAAGCATTAACTGAAAGGTTGGACAGGATCATGGCTCTTGCCCAGGACGTGCCACCAGAGGAGAATGTGTTTTCTTACAAAGGGGTATTGTACCCTGTTTTATTGTGCAGCCCAGCGACTTTTGAAGCTCTTGAGTCCTTTGAAGCCAGGAGTGATGATGTGTTATTAGCAGGATATCCAAAAAGTGGTGAATATCTTCTTTTTCTTTTACTTTTGTTTCAAGTGAAAATACAGTGTTGTGTAACATTATAAAGCAGCGTTAAAGCACCAAATAATTCGTTTTGATTGATGCTAGGAAGCAGAACTTCTAATGGGGATTCTTTGAACACCACAAGGGTGAGGTTCGTATCTACTCTCATATTCACTACAAAAGAATTAACATAAAGCTGAGAATATAAATGAATCCAAAATAACTTATGCTTTCCAAAGCGGTAATAACTTAACTTCCTTACTTTTTTGCATGTGGTGTTTGGTACTGCTTAGCCACATCTACATGAGATGCTGCCCACACAGTTATTACTGCACAGTCCTTTAGTACTTATATAAACAAGTACTAAAGGACTGTGCAGTAACCCGAGTTACTGCACAGTAGCGCTGATGAATGTATTTTTTGTGATGCTACTGCACAGTAACCTAATACTACTGCGCAGTAGCAAAGTGCCATGGTTTTTGCCACATGACACTACTGCACAGTAGTATCAGGCTACTGCACGGTCAGCATCTCAAGTAGAGGTGGCCCTTGTGTACCAAACACACATATGTGCTCTATGTAAACTGTGTAGACTACGAATGCACCATGTCCAAACAAAGTGCTGTGTTGGTCTGCAAAAGGCTCTTTGTACACAGTGAACGTTGCCCACTGTATTCAGTCCTATTGTATGCAGAGATGTTTTTTCTTTTGAAATGTGCCTGACATGGGCCATATCTAGGTCATGCTGCACCTATCCTTTT